TATATAATATATATATATATATATATATATATATATATATATATATATATAGTATACAGAAAAATAGACAAAAGTCTTAGTGTGAACATATGATGCTCTTAAACACAGCTATTCCTGTCAGCAAAACACCTGGACTATAAATCCGTATATACCTATGAGTACACTCCAGAAAAGCTTGACCCAGTCGGGGTTTTCCGTGAATATGCCATTGCCATTGCCCCCGCTACTCCTCTGTGCATCTGCACCTGCGTTTGCCCTCATATTGTCCCTTGTAAAGACGTTCCTGCGTTGCCCTGACATTCTGTCTTAATACGTTCGTACTTTTGTACGTTCTTTATGGGAAGTTAGTCTACACTCGACAGTGAACAAATTGGATCCTTTTTTAAACTATATTTATATACATACACTGATACACGATTCGATGAAAACGTGATATAAAAATGTCTATCCAATTCGTAGCGCCTGAATCGTATAGCGATCTAATCGTTTCGATCACACCGTAGTGAGAAATCGTGACTCATCGTGCCTTTTATTTAGCATCGGTTAGCAGTGATGACAAAATAATACGTGCCGCCAAATAGTGGCTTAGGCTCTCCTCCTTAATAGGCCACGACTGATTTGTCACGTGTACTCTCTGAGGCTCTGCAACAGGTGCCGCCGGGCGAATCAGTTCGAAGATCCGAATTTCTCATTCTGATGACAGAGTGAGCTATAAATAGATTTCAAGAAAACTCCCCTGAAAAAAAAGATCGAATATGGCCGCCGGGGGACGGGGGTAAACACGTTGCTTTTTGAATTTTTGAGAAGCCTTGTCTTTCGTCGGAAATCTAATAATAATAATTACCACATACATATGTATAGTATATTAATCCCGTCAACTATTACGCATTGATTGTACCAGCAGCCCGCCTGGTCATTACACATACACAAGTGTTATCACACACGCATATATAGACATAGAAAACTATGAGTTTCCGAGGCGGAGGTAGAGGCCGGGGTGCACCCCGAGGCGGTGGTCGTGGTGGTCGTGGCGGCGGCGGTAGATCGTTTGCGCCACAAGGCCCCCCGGATCAGGTGGTTGAATTGGGAGAGATGCTGCGATGCTGCGAGGGAGATCTAGTGTGCAAGAGCACGAATCCGATGATTCCCTACTTTAATGCCCCTGTGTACCTAGAGAATAAGTCACAGATCGGAAAGGTAGGTGGAGTCTGATATTGACGGTCAGGTGTTTGGTGAAGGTGTGTGTGTGTGTGGGGGGGCTGCATATCAGCTGCATGTTGTGAGTTTGTGGGGGGATGACGATATGGCATTATCATATGATGTGGACACGTAGAAGAGTATATAGTGATTGCCTTTGAAGGTATTCATACCCCCTGTTTATACACACACACACACATATATATATATATATAGATATACATACACACACACACACACACATATATATAGATATATCTATATCTATATCTATACATTCTACATATA